CATTTAAAATAATATGTAATTGTAAATTAAGGTTCATGAGAGGATTTTCTTTTTTAATTTCTTCTGTAATGATTGCTCTTTGCATTCCCCTAAGGAGATGAGCAAAAGACTGCAGTAATGTCTCATCTGTCTTTTATGAAAGTTTGAATTAGTTCCACATCAGTGGCATTCAAGATGCTGAAATAGTTGATAATGTTTAGTTTCTTAGCCATCTCCTTTCTGTTCTTCCAGCTATTGGCTTAATTCTTTTTTTTTTTTTTTCATTTATTTTTATTAGTTGGAGGTGGCTTAATTCTTATAGCTGATCAACTTCTTTGCTGTAGTAGCTCAGCTTGAAATAAAATTAACTATAAAAAGAAGAGCAGCAGCAGACTATTTTTCAAATTAGTTTTGATCTTTATGAGTTCAGTGGTATAAATGATGCCCCAAAACTTGGATAATATAATAGAAGGAGGGGACTGTTGTAAAGTCTGACTTTGTACTAATTGTAAAAACATTTATGTCTTGATTGTGAGATGTGAAAATGCTTGTTTCTATTTATAGCCATTAAAAATTATTTTCAGCTGTTTATAGCAAACAAAATAACATTGATAAGTGATATGAGAATTATTTTTCATGTAGAAGAAGTGTAAAGGTAGTGTGTTTCAGAGCTAGTGTGGCAACTCCATGGTCATCCAGGACCAAAACTCCTTCGATTTTCTGTCTAACCTAATCTAATCTGTAATTTCCATATTGAATTTTGCCTCATGGTTACTGAGTGATTCCTGGATTCCAGCCTTGGTATCCACAGTTCAGGAAGGAAGAAGGATGAAAGGGGGAAAAGAATCTACCTCCCAACTGAGTTAACCCCACTTATTTAAAGTTCAAAGAAGGCTGGAAAATGTAGTTTTTCAAATGGGAAAATTATGGATTTAAATAAATGTTTGATTGTGTTAGTAAGGAAGAAGGAGTAGATGGATATTTGTGTGGGTAGTTAACTACCTCTGCCACACTGTCTTGAGTAAATGAAATTCTACTAGTCAGATTTCTTAAATGCAGCCATGGCACTCCTGTACATTCCTGGGGTTTGTCGATTAGATTCTTTTGCATAGTAATTCAAGTTTATAAGCCCAGTCTACCATATGAAAGAGTGGGATATAATTCTCAAATTGAATGTCATAAGGTAGAATTAGTACTAGGTTGTATGTGAGTCACATAGTTTGGGATAAAGGAGGAAGCTGCTGCTTTTGTTGTTGTTTGTTTTAAAATATAAGTGTGTGTGAAATTGAAACCTACAAAATTACTCAAAAAAATAAAAGAAGACCTAATTAAATGGAGAGACATCCCAGGTAAATGAATCAGAAAACGTAGTGTTGTTAAGATGTCAATACTTGGCTTCCCTGGTAGTTCAGTGGTTAAGAATCCACCTGCCAATATAGGAGACACAGGTTTGATTCCTGGTCTGGGAAGATCCCTCGTGCCATGGAGCAACTAAGCCTGTGAGCCACAACTATTGAGCCTGTGCTCTAGAACCCAGGAAACACAACTGCTGAGCCCATGGACCGCAACTACTGAAGCCCGAATGACCTAGTGCTTGAGCTCCTCAACAGGAGAAGCTACCACAAAATGAGAAGCCCATGCAGCACAGCAGAGAGTAGCCCCCACTTTCTGCAACTAGAGAAAAGACTGTGCAGCAGTGAAGGCCCAGCACAACCAAAAAATAAATAAATATAAAATGAATCTCTCTGGAAAAAAAGATGTCAATACCAACTACTCAAAGCAAACTGCAAAATTCATTGCAATCCTTTCAAAATTCCCGTGCCATTTTTTGTAGATATGAAGAGATTAATCATAATTTGCAATAGCCAAGACATAACTGAAAAATTTGAAAAAGTTGGAGGACTCACACTTCCCAATTTGGGAATTTCCTACAAAGCTACAGTAGTTAAGATAGTGTGGTAATGGTATGTAGACACAATGGAGTAGGATCAGTTGTGTCCGATTCTTTGCAGCCCCATGGACTGTAGCCCACCAGGCTTCTCTGTCCATGGGATTCTCCTGGCAAGAATACTGAAGTGGTTTGCCATTTCCTTCTCCGGGGGATGTTCCTGACCCAGGGATCAAACCTGTGTCTCTTTTGTCTCCTGCATTGGTAGGTGGAGTCTTTACTACTAGCATCACCTAGAAAGCCCCATGGAATAGGATCGAGAATCCATATTTATGTATGTATGTATGTATATATGCACACGCACAATTGATTTTCAGCAGAGACACCAGGCACAACTTACAGAATAAGGGGAAATATTTGAAAGTTACATATCTGATAAGGATTTAATATCCATAATATATAGGAACTTGTACAAACCAATAACAAAGTGACAAAAAAATTTTTTTGGCTGCCCTGGGTCTTCGTTGCTTTGCACAGGCTTTCTCTAGTTGTGGAGAAAGGGGGCTGCTCTTCTTTGAGGTGTTGTGTGCAGGCTTCTCAGCGCAGTGGCTTCTCTTGTGGAGTGCAGGCTCTGGGCACACAGGCTCAGTAGTTGTGGTGCACGGGCTTAGCTGCTCTGCAACATGTGAAATCTTCCTGGACCCAGGATCTAACCCGGTTCAGTTCAGTTCAGTCGCTCAGTCGTGTCCGACTCTTTGTGACCCCAGGAACTGCAGCACGCCAGGCCTCCCTGTCCATCACCAATTCTTGGAGTTTACCCAAACTCATGTCCATTGATTCGGTAATGCCATCTAACCATCTCATCCTCTGTTGTCCCCTTTTCCTCCTGCCTTCAATCTTTTCCAACATCAGAATCTTTTCAAATAAGTCAGCTCTTTGCATCATCAGGTGGCCAAAATTTTGGAGTTTCAGCTTCAACATCAGTCCTTCCAATGAACACCCTGGACTGATCTCCTTTAGGATGGACTGGTTGGATCTTCTTGCAGTCCAAGGGACTCTCAAGAGTCTTCTCCAACACCACAGTTCAAAAGCATCAATTCTTCTGCGCTCAGCTTTCTTTATAGTCTGACTCTCACATCCATAACATGACTACTGGAAAAACCATAGCCTTGACTAGACGGACCTTTGTTGACAAAATAATGTCTGCTTTTTAATATGCTGTCTAGGTTGATCATAACTTTTCTTCCAAGGAGTAAGCGTCTTTTAATTTCATGGCTGCAATCACCATCTGCAGTGATTTTGGAGCCCAAAAAAATAAAGTCAGCCACTGTTTCCCCATCTATTTGCCATGAAGTGATGGGACTGAATGCCATGATCTTAGTTTTCTGAATGTTGAGCTTTAAGCCAACTTTTTCACTCTCCTCTTTCACTTTCATCAAGAGGCTCTGTAGTTCTTCTTCACTTTCTGCCATAAGGGTGGTATCATCTACATATCTGAGGTTATTGATAATTTCTCCCAGCAATCTTGATTCCAGCTTGTGCTCAATCCAGCCCAGCGTTTCTCATGATGTAATATGCATATAAGTTAAATAAGCAGGTTGACAATATGCAGCCTTGACATACTCCTTTTCTGATTTGGAACCACTCTGTTGTTCCATATATCACTAGTGGGAATTTAAAATAGTGCAGCTGGGAACTTCCTTGATGATCTAGTGGTTAAGACTGCATTTTCATTGCAGGAGGTACGGCTTCAAACCCTGGTCCAGGAACTAAGATCCCGCATGCCATGCAGCATGACCATAAAGAAAAATTAACTGATAATTAATTAATTAAAATAAAATAGTGCCACTGCTATAGAAACTTTCCTCACAAAGTTAAAAAGGATTACCATATGGCTCAGCAGTTTTACTCCTAATTATATACCAAAAAGAGTTGAAAATAGGAACTCTTAAATAGCCAGTGTCCATCAGTAGATGAATGGATAAACAAATGGTATATCCATACACTGTAATTTGGTATTGCTTAATGGGTACAAAATTTCTGTTTGGGGTGGTGAAAAACTTTTGTAAATATTACAGTTATACAGTTGTGAATATAATTAATGCCATTTATCATATACTTAAAATAGTTAAAATATCATATTTTATGGTGTGTATATTTTTGTTGTTGTTTAGTTGCTAAATAGTGTCCAACTCTTTGCAACCCCATGGACTGTAGGCTACCAGGTACCCCCGTCTATGGGATTTCCCAGGCAAGAATACTGGAGTGGGTTTTCCTTCTCTAGGGAACCTTGCTGACCCAGGAATCAAACCCTCATCTCCTGCATTGGTAGGCAGATTCTTTACTGCTGAGCTACCAGGGAAGCCTGTATTTGTTTTACCACAATTTAAAAACAAAGCTTGTCTTTTAAGAATTACATCACTGTCAGTGTAAGTTCATCATTCGTAACATGTACTACCACTCTGCTGGGGGATGTTGATAATAGGGATGCTCTGCGTATGTGAGGGCAGGGGCAAAAGGGAATCTCTGAACCTTTGTCTCAGTTTTGCTGTGAACCAAAAACTACTCTTTAACCCTCTTAACCATTTTTTGAAAGACTTTTTAAAAGAGCAGTTGTGTATTATACCACAAGTATATGTATAAAGTGTATATAAAATGTATAACATATGAACATATATGATACATGAAATTATAAAATATGTATATAAAGATAGGTTTTTTAAGTATATTTATATAAAGTGAATATAGAATTATGTATTACAAAGAGCTAGAATTTTAGTCCCAACTCCACAGAAGTTGTGTGTCCTTAGACAAGTTACATAACTTTTCCAAACCCTAATATTGTTTTGTATAAAATGAGAAAAATAATGATGCTTGTAGCTACTTTGTAGAGATGTATTAGGATTAGAGATGATCATGTAAAGGGCCCAAAAGAATTTCTAATGTACAGCAAGTGCTCAATAGGTAAAAGCCATTATCAATGAAAATTTTATTCATTTATTATTTGGCTATGGTAGTTTATATATTTATTCATTATTTTTTCTACAATCATAATGCCCACTTGAACTCTAAACTGCTCATTGTCATTAAATTATTACTATTTTTAACTTCTTTGTTCTGTTTTGTTTTATAGGCAACAATTGGCATTGACTTTTTATCAAAAACAATGTACTTGGAGGATCGAACAGTGAGTAGTGTTTTCAGTGTGCACTTTTCTGCAACTCCGCAGGACAGAATGTTATGCTTAAAGCTATCATCAGTGATTGTTGCCGTAAGAAGTACTTAGCAAAGTTGCCAAAGTTAGCGTACAGGCCTTGAGGAAAACTATTATAGAATGAATAGTACTTAGCACTTTGAATTTTTTATCCTCAAGTAGACTCCAAAGGGGAGAGAAAGCCATTATTTGTGATACTCTGATAACCCTAGGCTTGATGAACAAAATTTATTGTCTTTTCTTGGAATATTACAACAGATAGCATTGAGGTAAGAATATTTTCATGAAGAAATTAGAGCCGCTAAAGACCTTTTGTGTACCACTCTGAACCATTCAAACATTTCATTTGAATATCACACAATCTGGGAACTTCCAGGCTTTGTGGGAATATGGTATATACCAAAGTGACTGTGAATAGACAAAAGTAATGTGTATCTCCTTGTTAGATTTTTGTCTTCCATCTTTTGGAATGCTCCCTTTTAAGTGTGATATAAATTCTGTATTCTAGCCTGCTGTCCCTTGAAGAGATTCTTGTCACCTAAACAGTAACTCTCTTAAATGCATTATTTTGGGACCTATACCCAAAAAGCATTATCTCTAATGCCATTTCTTTAAGTTTGTGAGTCTTTTTCTTTTGGATGTTCTCCTTTATGTTTTAATATATAATATTCCATTTCTTAAAATTTGAAAACAGAAACTGCTTTATGATGGTAAAAGAACTTAATGCTTGTTTTCAGGCTTTTCTTCCTGGAATGTAGTTGTGAAGAAGAAAGTAAAGACACGTTTAAGTAGAGTTGCAAAAAGATATTTCTCTTTTTTTGCTAGATTATATAATAATGTTCTAGAAATAAATGTGTGGGAGAACAAGCACAGTAGTCAGAGATCCAATTTCAAAGTGTTCTGTATCCAGTAGAGAAAAGAGACATTTTATTTTCATTTCAGAGGGGCTGATCATTGACATTTACCTTTGTTTTTCTCTTTTATTTTCACTATTTGAACATGAGCAGTCTGCTTGTGCTGTCCGGAAGGTATAGGATTCAAAGAGAGGTTGTAGAGAGGGGGCATAAAAAGGAAGCTGTGCTTCTCATCCTGTGAAATCTTTCCTGTTGCTTTTTTTTTTTTTTTTTGAGTTACGTACCTTCAGAGCAAGCAAATTTTAAATATTACTCCCTTTTGAAAAAGGAAAGGAATTTTATGTTGTTTTCATTCCTCACCTCCCTGCACCCTTTTGCATGAGTTTTCCTTTTTACCTCCTTGCCACCCTCCTCCCTTTAAAAACATTATTTCTTTTTTCTTTTTAGTATGAGTTTGTTTTTTGTTTTTGTTTTTTTTTTTTTTATTTATTTTTTCCCATCCCACAGATCAGGCTGCAGCTGTGGGATACTGCGGGTCAGGAACGTTTCCGTAGCCTCATTCCCAGTTACATCCGTGATTCTGCTGCAGCCGTAGTAGTTTACGATATCACAAGTAGGTATTTTGCAACGGGTTGACCTTTCTTATTTTTCTTGCTTGTTTGACTGATTTTATTGTTAGGTACGATTGCAATTATGGGACACAGCAGGTCAAGAGCGGTTCAGGAGCTTGATTCCTAGCTACATTCGTGACTCCACTGTGGCAGTTGTTGTTTATGATATCACAAGTGAGTGGGGGGGGAATTACGCATTTCTAATCTTCTTTCAACCTTTAGCTTAGTTGCATGCATGTTCTTGTTTTGTGCTTGTTTTCTATACTGGCATGTAAAATTGAGTTTTATCATACCAACCAATCACACACCAGCTAGGTCAGAGTATTTGCTTCACTGTTTGTACCAATATATCTTATTTCTACTGTGCCAGGGTTTTTTGCCCCAGAAATTTTCGTATGGGTCTAATTGTGAACCCTCTCCAAGGCTTTCTTAGTATCCTGTTATCCCTAAGCTACACCATAATTATGGTTAGAAGAGTGTCTCCTTTTGTATTTAATTTGATTTCAGATTTCTCTAAAGCAAAATAATCTGCATTTATGTCTCTTGCAAAGTTTTCCAAATCCTTCAAGGCTTCTTCTACTGAGGCTGTTAAAAGGTTCTGATAACCAGCTTTTCTCTGCTTTCACCTTCCAGCCATCCTCTTTATAGAGGAAGAGCAGAGAAAACTTAATTTCTATTAATCATTTTCATTTGAGTGAAATCTGGATTCTCTGACTAGTTTATTTGTTTTGTTGCTGACAAGTGACACTTTTCTCTCCAAGAAAAACATTTAAATGGGAGACTAAAACAAGTGATGGTCTTCCTTTTTCTTTTCCCTCAAGACTGAATAATAATGCCTTTGGCATTTTAAGTGACTGTAAATTTTGAATAGAACATTGATGACTGACAGGGAAATGCTGTCTGATTAAAATTATCTTTGTAAATTAGTTTATGATATATTAGGCAATATTTGGTTATCATTCCATTTAATGGTCCATAATTTATAGGAAAACCAGGATAGTACCACATCTTAGACTTCTTTAAAAACATAATGTTAGCATACATTTTTACAAATTTGCTCAAACAGAAATCATATCTACTTAAAAATAATTACAATGACAGAATTATAAGTTAGAGGTTTATATTTAGAAACTTTTTATTTTGGTTAGGTGCCAAATGCAGTCCTTCTTTTCTTGAAGCTTTCCTTTGGGTTGCTACCTGTTTTAAAATGTATGTTCATTATTGTGCTGTCACAAGTTTTGCAGCTTTAAAATGTTTGTGCTTACTTTAACCAAATCAAGTAAAATCAGGTGTATTCTTTGAAATTTGTGCACATGTGGTTAAAATATTAGCAAATTGTTTTCTTTAGCTGCTGTAAGAATTATTGAAGTACCCTACTTAGACTCCAGGGCTGGAAAAGATGGGTTTCATTATAAGTGATTCTGGTACATTAAACTAATAAACTCCAAGTTAAAGTGATCACAAACTGAATAAGCAATGCAAACAGAGTGGTGTTGAAAGCTATTGAAAGGCTTTACAGATTTTGTGGATGTGTTGGGACTTACTGGCTGACGTTCTTTTGGAGATGCTTTCTTTGTCACGTTTGGTATGTGTAAGTAATCAAAAGAGCATTGTGGCAACATGACACCATATTATCTGCCATAGCTATCCTTTCATCATTTAAATATTTTTTTTCAGTTATAGTATATTATACTCACCTGGTCATGTCCCAAAATTTTAAACTATTATAAAATGTACCTTGTGGATTTTATTCTTGTGATTTGTTTAGATCACTGATATTTGTACTCAGATAAAATGGAGTTATGTTGCAGGCACATTAAGGGTGGGTTCTAATGTGCCACCTCCCTTCCAACTTCCAGTGCTTTTTTTTTTCCCCCTTTTTTGGTCCTTCACTTGGGAAGTTACTTGCAATATCACTAATCTCTGTCCACCTTCCTGTATACCAGATGTTAACTCCTTCCAGCAAACTACAAAATGGATTGATGATGTCAGAACAGAAAGAGGAAGTGATGTTATCATCATGCTAGTAGGAAATAAAACAGATCTTGCTGACAAGAGGTATGGAATGATTTCATATGTATATGGAATGTTTGATTTCTTTGTTAAGCAGCCTATTATTTTTGTTAGTGAATCCTATTATTTTTGTTAGTTTTAAAAGGAGAATTTTTACTCCTTAATCTTATGCCTCCATCATTTTTCTTTAATATAAGAACCTGAAATAGGTAAACTCAGTCCTGGAAACTCCCTGGTAGTCCAATGGTTAGGATTCTGCGCTTTCACTGCCACGGGGCATGGGTTCAATCTCTCATTGGGAAACTTAAGATCCCACAAACCCCACAGTGTGGCAAAAAAAAAAAACCAACACATTAAACTCAGTCCTTAAAGGAAAATAAATTTTTTTGTTTGTGTAAGCCCCCATATAAATAACTCATGCAAGATTGTTTATACATGAAGCTGATAGCTATTTTGCATTTTTTAGGCCTCATATTAATAAATAAAAGCAGTATTCTGTTAGAGAACAAAATATTTTTAAAAACCAATCCTGTCTTTAAAAACGTATTCATAATGATTAAATGCACACTCTTTTGCTAGCCTTATAAATATTCATTATAATTCAGTAGTGTAGTTTTTTCTTTTCTTTTTTTAATTGTATGGTTGAGCCAGACTGTGAGGTTGAACTGAATAGCTTGATTGTGATACCTTAGTCAAATGAGGAAAGACATATTCAAGTCACAGGATGCAAAATGTATTAACATTCACTGTAGAGCCCATGGCTTGAATATCTGCCTTTAGCATTCCTCAGTGATCTTCTACATATTGTTTTTAGTAATCTTGACAATTTAATATTTGAAGTTTTTACTATTTATTATTTGTTTATTCATTAGTTTAATATTGAAATTCTAGTAATGAACTTTTGCTGTTAATTTAAATGTTAGAAAGAAATACAGTATGTTCAAAGACTTATGAAATATAAAGCCTATTTTTGCTCGCAGTACCTCATTTGGAATTGGCAAGAAAGTCTTTTTTTATTTAAAAGTAAATTCAGCATATGACTTCATCCTTTTTTTTTTTGACTTCATCTTTTCTTTATGAAAATCATTTTTCGGACGTCAATGCTGTTATATAGATTTTCTTTGTTTATCTTCACTATGAGAATTTGAAGATCTTATATGTATATATTTTTGTAGTGGAGAGTCCCAGGATACCTTCACTATTAAAAGAAAGATTATATATATATTTATTTCTCTTTATAGCTGGAGTTATCTAAAAGGATGCATGCAAGTGGCTGTTCTTTTACTGCATAGTAGTTGGGTATACAGATATAGAAAGTTATCTAAATTATGTTTATAGTAATTTTTCTTTAAGATAATATTTGTCCATTGCTTTAGAACTTCTTTCTCAGTAATTTTTGCCAGACTATTGCCTATTAGCTTTCACATTTAAAAGAATTAGAGTCTTAAAAAATTTTAATTAATAAACTAAAAGAATTGGAGTCTTGTTCATTCCATTAAAATAATTTTGTTTTTTCATATATTTTTATCATTATTTATTACTTCATCTATTTTATTTTATTAATGTAACAGTTGCCTTTTTTTTAAAATTGAAGTATAGTTGATTTGTAGTGTTTCAAGTATATAGCAAAATGATTCAGTTATACTAATACATATATATGTATTTATCCTTTTTGAGATTCTTTTCCATTATAGCTTATTATAAGATACTGAATGTAGTTCCCTGTGCGATACAGTAGGTCCTTGGTGTTTATCTGTTTTACATACAGTATTTATCTATTAATCTGAAATTCCCAATAAAATAATTTTTAAATGAGAAAAAAAATTTTTTTAATTTTTTACAGCATTAAAAGTAAATCTTTGGTAGTAGGTGGCCTTTCATAAGCATAACATGGAATCCTAATGCCTTAACGGGAAAGATTGATAAGTTTGAATACATAAATATAAAAATTATATTCACCTATTAGGTTGGCCATTATTCAAAAGATTGGTAGTGCACTGTATCATCAAGTGTCTGAATAGATAAGAGCTCTCATACACTGAAAATGTGACTAATACAGTTTTTAGCAGAAACAGTTTAACATCAGTATTTAAAATACTTTTTGACTGAAATCCACCTTCAGTAACTTATTCCATAGATACACCCACAGAAATGTGAAAAGATGAATATACAGTAGTTATTATTGTACCATTACTTGTAATATTAAAGAATTAAAATCAGTCTGAATGACTGCTAGTAGTAGTAGTATTTTATTAATATAAATGAAATTCTTCTAGTCAGTGAAAAAAAAAAAAAAGGAGGACTTTATTGCTGGCTTACACATGAAGCTTAAGAAAAACCCTTGATCAATGCGTATACCTGAATCTTTTGTCTTTAAAACAAATAAATAAATAAGATGGATCTTTGGCCTAGAACAAATCTGTGTAAGAATATATGAAACTTAACTAGTTTTTTTTGGGAAGAGAGTGGGATTATATAGGAGTTTATTGTGATGGTCTTTTAAAAATTACTGTTGTAATCAGAAAAAAAAGTTTTAATAACAGCAATTTAAAGTTAAATGACCTTTTCCACTTTCTTTGACAGTTAGTTTTTTCATGAAAACCTGGAGGAAAGACTGGAATATATCTGTTAGTGTCTTAGCACCTAGATGTTCAGTATTCTTTTTGTCCTCTGTAGCCCAGTGCTTCGCAGATGTTCAAACCTGAGAATCACTTGGTAAACATGGCATATTAGACCCTCTTCTAAGATTCTGGCTATAGAGGATTGTGGTCAACTTTAAAATTTTTGATGTTTCTGAGCCTCCTTCCAGACTCAGTTAATCCAGAGTAGGTCCCTTGAATCTATGTTCTAATTAATCTTTCTAGGTATGTGCGTGCAAAGTCATTTCAGTCATGTCTGACTCTGTGGAACCCAATGGACTGTAACCTGCTAGGCCCCTCTGTCCATCAGGATTCTCCAGGCAGGAATACTGGAGTGGGTTGCCATGGCCTCCTCCAGGGGATCTTCCTGACCCAGGGATCAAACCTGTGTCTCTTGTGTCTCCTGTATTAGCAGGCAGGTTCTTTACCACTAGCACAACCTAGGAAGTCCCAGTCTTTCTAGGTGCTTCTGACAAATCCAAACCACAGTTGTGAACCTTGGTATAGCTAACTTTCAACCATTTTATTGAGGTGACTTATAGTTCTACAACTAGTTAGAATTTCTACGTGGAATCCTTCACATGGAGGGTTTATGGACTGATAATCATTGATTCGGGAGATGTTTATTGAGTATCATGTGTGCCTCAGAGCAGGCTACTCTTATGATAGTGAACTAAAATCTTCAAGGAGATTTTATTCTAGTGAATAAACCAGGCAATAAGTAAATAAAGGAAAAAATTGGATGTTTGATAGTGATACGTGCAAAGGGTGAGAATAAAGCAGGGAAAAGGAATATGAAATGTTAAGGACAAGTTTGTGATGCTAGATGGGATAGCAGTGGAAAACCTCCCTGAGAAGATGACTGGTGACTTTTGAATAAAGAAGCTAAGGAAGTGAGGGAGTAACTATGCAAGTATGTGGAGGAAGAAAAGGTCCTAGGCAGATGACTCAGAAAATACAAAATTACTGAGTTGGGAATACACTTATTTGAGAGACAGCAAGGAAGGAAGTGTATATAACTGATAAAGAGAATGATGGAAAGAGCAGTATGGAAATGAAATGAAATGAAAGATAATGAAGGCCAGATCATGTAGCACAAAGTAAAAACTTTCTGGATGAGATTGGAGGGTTTAAGCAGAGGAGTGGCTTCTCATAGGTCACTGTTTGCTCTGTTGAAAATGCATAAGGGGAGAAGAGAGGAGGATAAACTAGACTTTATTCCAAGCAAGAAATAATGATGACTTGGACCAGGATAGTGGTAACTTGTATGGTGATCAATGGTCAAATTTAGATATTTTGAAGATAGAACTGACAGGATATACTGATGCGATGGATAGGATATATACTGATGGATGGAATATATGATGTTGGGGAAGGAGTCATCAAGAATGACCCCTAGATTTTTGGCCTGAGAAGCCATCATTAACTGAGACAGAAGAGACTGCATAAAGAAACAGTTTGGGAGGGAATATCATGACTTTAGCTTTTGGTCATTTTAAGTGTAGAATGGCTATTAGCTATCCTAATATAATTAGAGGTCAGGTAGGCAGTTGGCTTATGAGCATGCAGTTCAGAGCAGCAGTCCAAGATAGATATATAAGTTGAGAGTCATCAGCATATAGATGATATTTAAAGCCATGAGACTGCATAAGATCTCCAAGGCAGTAATTGTACATAGAGAAAAGGTCCAACGAGAAAGTTTTAGGGCATCTGAAATCATTGTTTTTCGGAAATCCATACTGCTGAAGTGTTTAAAGTTCTGCTGCTGATTGTCAGCTTACTTTCAGATGGTTAAAAAAACATATTTAAAAAAATTTATTCATGAATACATAGAGAATGAGTGGATATAACAAGCAGATAGAATAAAGCATTAACAGTTGAAGTGTTATATATAAAGAATGATTTTGCTTTTAGAAGATGGAGAAATTGTAGAATAATGTCTTCTTGTAGACAAGAAGAGAGCAGAATCTACTACATTGGTATAAGTTTGAGGAATAAGGACAGTTCTTCCACAGTTGTGGATCTAGAGATAGAATATGAGGCACACACAAGTAGATTGTAGGATAGTTGTGGTGCGAGCTTGTAGAAATTCTCTTACATTGCTTTGGTTTTCTATTTTGTAAGAAGCAAGATTTATCAGCTGATAGTTTAGATCCAGTTAACTAGAAGAGTTGCTTATTCATTAAACACCTATATGATTGCTGGGCACTAGGAATACCAGGATAAATGAGAGAACACTGCTCTTGAAGAGCTGACGTCTTGAGAAACTTCCCTGTAAGAGAAGCATTAATACTGTGTATCAAGAAACTTTAACATACGTGTCTTTGACTCACTTGTTCCAGTTACAGAAATCCACAAAATCCAACCTAAGGAGATGATCCAAAGTGCTCAAAGCACAAAGATGTCCATAGCAACATTTTTCACATTAATGTAAAATTTGAAAGCAACATACATTTTTAATACTTTGAGACTGATTAAAATAGAAAAATGTCTAGCCATTAAAAATTGTTTTACATTAAAAACTTTTAATCACAAAACTAAATATTTATAATCTGATATTAAGAGAAAAATATTGGGTTGACCAAAAAGTTTGTTCGGGTTTTTCTGTAAACGGTTACAGGAGACCCAAATGAACTTTTTGGCCAACCCATTAAGTTATTAAAGTTTTTAAAATTTAAAAAATACAAGTGAGCTCAGCCGGTAAAAGCAAATCATTTAAGAAAAAAAAGAGACTTTAAAAAATGTTTAGTTGGGTGAAAATACAGAAGTACACAGATTTTAAGTGTAGTTGATTTATAATGTGTTAATTTCTGCTGTATAGCAAAGTGATTCAGTTATGTATGCATTCTTTTTTTTATATATTCTTTTCCATTATAGTTTATCATAAAATATTAAATATAATTCCCTGTTCTATACCTCTGGTTCTTGTTGTTTATCCACTCTGTATAGTTTGAATTTGTTAACCCCAAACTCCCACTCCATCCCTCCCTTCCTCAGCAGCCACAGGTTTGTTTTTTATGTTTAGATCCCATATGTAAGTGATATCATATGGTATTTGTCTTTCTGACTTAAGAAGTGCGCAAATTTTAAGTATATGCAGTTTGATAAATTTTCAAACTAGTATTACCTGTATAACCAGCACCATATTAGGAAAAGTTCAGAACCTTGTTTATAATCTTCATATCATCATCTTTCAAAAAGGTGGATTTGTTTTTTTTATTTTTCTACAGGCAAGTGTCAATTGAGGAAGGAGAGAGGAAAGCCAAAGAGCTGAATGTTATGTTTATTGAAACTAGTGCAAAGGCAGGATACAATGTAAAGCAGGTAAGTTATTTGAGAATGAGTGGGTTGAAGTTATCAAATTGAAAAAATATATTTTAAAATAATTGTATGAGTTTTCTATTCTCTAGTGTAAGATTTTCTTCCAGTTGACAGTAGCAGGCCTCATGAATTAGCAGTATACTACAGTGAACAGTGAAAAATCTAAATGTGGCATAGTTTGGGAAAAAGAGAGAAGAGACTTGTCAAACTTTACAGATTGTTCCTAAAACGAGTGTTTCATTATGATGACAAAATGATTGCTGGGTTGTAAACTCGCCATACTCTCACTGCATCCCTACTGCCTTGTTTTAAGGTGAATTTTCTTCATTTTAGTATTTGATGATAAGATGATAAAACAAGTATTTGCTTTCAGGCTTGGTATTTTGCTTGTTATAAAAATACATTCTGATTATTTTATCCTTAATAACTGCTGGTATTAACAGTGTTCATAACAGTGTTTATTCCTATTTTGGGGAACAGGAAAATATGGGGAGACTTCACTTTATCAAGCTGTTACCTTAAAGATGGGGTAACCAAAAACTTACCTGCTTAATTCTTCAGGTCTACATATCGTATAGAGTACTGGTCCCAGATTATAGGCTTTACCTCCCAATAAATTATTTTTTAATTGTATGTTATCAGTAAAGGGGTAAAATTAAATCCTTGAAACTGTGTAAGTTGAGCTTTATGAAAAATTCTCTATATTATTTTCATTTTTGGCTCTCCCCAATTCTCTTTACCTTGAAACATATGTAAGTAACACTGAATTGGCATTAATGCCCTCCTCATAGTATACGGTTTCATGGCTCCATATCTGTATTCATGCTGTGTTCTCTTTGCTTAGAATACTCATTTTCTTCTTTCCTGACTGATACCTACCCATACTTTTTTTTTTTTCATTAGTTGGAGGCTAATTACTTCACAGCATTGCAGTGGGTTTTGTCATACATTGACATGAATCAGCCATGGAGTTACATGTATTCCTCATCCTGATCCCCCCTCCCACCTCCCTCTCTACCCGATTCCTCTGGGTCTTCCCAGTGCACCAGCCCCAAGCATTTGTCTCATGCATCCAACCTGGGCTGGTGATCTGGTTCACCCTTGATAATATACATGTTTTGATGCTGTTCTCT